ACAGTGGCTGAGGTAGTTGGGGCATGTGTTTTGTGATTGGGCCACCTTACTATGGACTTTGAGTACAAGGGAAAAGCAGTCTATTTACAGGGGCATACACCAAGTCTTCTAGATCAAGAGCCTGTCAAAATTTGCTAAAGATGTTGGAGGTTCAGCAGCCCCATCTCATGCATCTGGGGGTTAGCAGCCCAAGACCAACTTTGTCCAAGGAACATTGAAGTGAGTAGCCTATGATTATCAGTTGCAGCTCCAAAATCTCCTGAGACAGTTTGTTAAGGTCTTCCTGGAGCCCGTGAGCCTGCCACCAGCTCATGATCATGATCATAGAATCCCACTGATTCTCAGTGTCACTCTAATCAATGTAAGGCCATACCATTACTCGAATTTTCAAAAGCAAAAATTGAAAAAGTAGTACAAGAACTGTTGGATAAGAGTTTCATTTAGCCCATCCACAGTCCATTCTCTTCTCCAATATTGTTGGTGAGGAAAAAGGATTGCATGTGGAATTTTTTTGTGGATTACCGGGCCTTGAACCAAATTAGAGTCAAGGATTGCTTTCCGATCCCAGTCATTCATGAGCTCTTGGATGATCTCAAAGAAGCCAAAGTATTTTCTACATTGGACTTACAGGCTGGTTATCACCAAATCAGAGTCCTCAAAGATGATGTGCACAAAACTGCCTTTTGGACACATGATTGACACTTTGAGTTTTTGGTAATGCCCTTTGGGTTAACTAATGCCCCTTCATCATTTCAGGTCTCTTATGAATTATACTTTTAAACCCTATCTACACAAGTTTATTTTGGTATTCTTTGATGATTTATTGGTATACAGATTTTCTTGGAAGCAACACCTTATGCACTTACAAGTTTGGGATTTCTCTTGTAAAACTGGCTATTTTGGTCAAGCCCATGTTCACTATCTTGGACATATTATGGAAAATTGAACAATGTCAGCTGACCTGGACAAAATTGCTTGCATGGTGAATTGGCCAAGTCCCACAATGGTGAAAGAACTCAAAGGGTTTCTGGGCCATACAGGTTACTATAGGAGATTTATATGCCATTATGGACTAATAGCTGCCCCTCTTACAGACCTTATTAAGAAGGATTCATTCTCATGGACCCCCAAAGCCCAACAAGCCTTTGAGAGGTTCAAGCAAACGGTTTCCTCCCCACCTGCTCTAGCCTTACCTAATTTCAGTAAGGTCTTCGTGGTTGTGTGATGCCTCCAACTTAGGCATCAATGCAGTTCTTATGTAAGAAGGCCAGCCTCTTGCTTATTTCAGTAAAGCACTGACCACATGGGCTTCTTCAAAATCAATGTATGAGGAAGAACTTATGGCTGTTCTTGTGTTGTAAAATGGAGGTCATACCTCCTGGGCTGAAGATTCATATTCAGAAGTGATCACAAAAGCTTGAAGTTTTTGCTACAGCAGACTATACTCTCGCCTGAACAGCAGTATTGAGTATCTAGACTACTTGGATACTATTATCAAATAGAGTATCAAGCGGGCCCAGGGAACAAAGCAGCAGCACCTTATCCAGACAAAATGAGGTCCAGCCCATGTTCTCATTATTGGAAGAACTCAAAGAGGAAGTCTAGAAGAGCCCAACACTTAAGGTGATTCATGACTGGTGTCTAAAAGAGCCCAGCGCTGTTCTAGGTTATCATATGGTTGGAGATGTTTTATTTTTCAAAGGCAGGATGGTTGTACTTGAAGATTCAATCCACAGTCCTAATCTCTTAGACCTATTTCATGCATCTCCTATAGGTGGGCATTCAGGTGTACTCCATACCTATCAGTGCCTAGCCTCTCAGTTCCATTGGAAGGGGATGAGAGCTCAGATCCAGCAGTTTGTAGCTTCGTGCCCTGCCTGTCAACAGCAGCACTGAAGTACAAGACTTGCTTGCCGGCCGGACTGTTGCAGTCCTTACCAATACCTACTCAGGTGTGGGAAGACATTTGCATGGACTTTGTGTCCCGTTTTCCAACTTCAAGTGGAAATTCAATTATTTTTGTGATTGTTGACCGTTTCACCAAAGTATGGACATTTCATTAGGTTTCCTCACCAATACTCAGTAGCATTGGTGGTAGATATTTGCTTCAAGGAAGTAATGAGACTGCATGGGATTCCAAGGTCCATAATTTCTGATCAAGGCCCATTGCTCCTAAGCAAATTTTGGGCTGAACTCTTCAGGCTACTAGGCACTAATCTGAAGCACTCACTAGTTATCACCCACAAACAGATGGGCAGGCAGAAGTGGTTTAATGTTGTGTGGAAACTCATCCATGTTGTTTTATTGGGGGCAGGCCACGTCAATGGGTGAAGTGGCTGCCTTGGGTGGAGTGGTGGTATAATACCACATATCTGGCTGCAGTGGGAATGACACCCTTTGAAGCTTTATATTGTCGTGAGCCTCCTTTAGTGCTTCCATATGAGAAGGGGTCTACATCTATGGCTACTCTAGAGGAACAAATACTGCAGCGGGATACTGTTCTTCAGGAGATCAAGTTCATTCTCCAGCAGGCTCAACAGATAATGAAGAAACACTATGATAACCATCACCATTCAGTAGAGTACCAGGTTGGTGACATGGCTTTTCTCGATTCAGCCTTACAAGCAGACTATGGTAGCTAGAAGGGCCTGGAATAAGCTAGCCCCGTGCTATTTTGGCCCATTCAAGGTTCTGGAATGAGTTGGTTCAGCGGCTTATAAGTTGGAGCTCCCTAACATTTCGAAGCTACATCTTATATTTCATGTTCCCCTCCTCAAAAATGTCTCAAGGAGGAAGCCATTAGCAGCCAAACCTTGCCACAGTTACTAAAGATGGTGCCTTGGTAACAAAAACATTACAAATTATTGACTTCCGTTGGACTAGGAAAATACCAGAGGATCTAGTGTTATGGTTTAATCTTCCAGTTGAGCATGCTGCCCGGGAGTCTTATCTTCAGCTCCAACATGATTTACCTCACATTGACCTTGAGGGCAAGGTTGTTCTTAAGGGGGCAGGACCTGATAGGTCTGCCTGCAAGCCCAAGGATTTAAGGTCCAGTTCAAGCAAGGGTCCTCAGTAACCCTTCAAGTGTGATATTCCCACCATCAAGCAGCAAAGCAGGTATACAGGGGAAGGCCACATCATCAGGTATCTCTTGGTGGGAACTAGTAAATCTGTTGTAACAAATTCATTTGAATCTGAAATGTATACCTATATAAGGCTGGAACTACTTGAACGAATCAAGGAGAATTAAGCTCCCTCAATTCCCTTTCTCTTCTCTCTGTTTTTTTTTTTTTTCTCTCATTTCCTTTCTGGAGGAGGTTTCCCTCGAAGCAAACCCTGTGATAGTCTGTAACCTATAAGAGGGACTTCTTGTGGCTAGATTGGAATGATTCCTCAAAATTCCATCTTGTAAATCGGGATGAGGTAGGAGGGTTGGAAGGTGGTTTTCTTCAGAATCAAATTGAGTTTTGGAGTAAAATGATTGCAGAAAAAGATGGTTTTTGTGCCTTTGGTTGGGATGCTGCTGATTCCCATCTTTCATATGGCTTTGATATGTTTGGACAGGTATTTACAAAGCTTATCCCCATTTCACCAAATGAACAAAATATAAGGTTGGCAGTGGAAGCAGGTTGTGGTTTTGGATGGATCCATGGTGTGGTGACATTACCCTAAAAGAGAGTTTCACATCCCTGTTCAATGTTATCAACAAACAGGCTTTGGTTGCTGATTACTATGAGGTGAAAGTGGTAGAATTACATGCCCCCTGTTTGCATGAGAAACTTTAATGACTGATAGTTGGAGCAGGTGACACAACTCCTCACTATAATTCAGAAACAACACTTATATTTGTAATCCGAGGACTCAAGAAGCTGGAGATGGACACAAGCAGGCAAGTTTTCAGTCAAGACTTTTACAAAGACCTTCTTGATGAACCTTGGCAACAATCTCCTTGTGAGGCCATATGTGAAGTTGCTGTTCCCCTGAAGGTAAAATTTTTCTCTTGGCTGGTGGCTAAGGAGAAATATCTTACAAAAGATGCTTCTAAGGAAGGGGTTTACCACACCAGGTCTGTTGTTGTCCCCTTTGTAGTTTGGAAATTGATATCTCCAATCATCTACCTATTCACTGCATATTCTCTGCAAAGGTTTGGCATCATTTCCTTGAGTTGGTTCAACTTAATTGATGCTTTCTCGAGTCTACTACAGCTCTGTTTCAAGGATGGAAGGTCCCGTGCATGACCAAAAAAGGAAGAGTCTTATGGTTTTCCATTTCAAATGCAGTTCTGTGGGCCATTTGGGTTCAGAGAAATAAAAGAGTTTTCGAGCAGAAAGAAAAGTCTGAGGCAGGGGCTGGATGTCTATATCTGATGATGATGTTTTTTCTGCAACTGAGTATCCTTGAACAACATCTCATTGTACAGGGCCATTCATACTTTTGATATTAATACAATATAATTTACCTTCTTCTTCAAATAAATAAATAAATAAAGACAGGGTCTCACAGGTAAAACAAAAATTACCTAAATATCCCTTTTTTGTCTAAACATACATAAGAATTCAAAAGGTTCCATATCTGACCACTAGGCTTCTGCATTAGTTGTACTGACTACTGAGGTGCTTCTTTGGTACATGTTTTGCCAGCTTCCTTTCTGCCTATCTAGCATCTTATATACTTGATAGTGAAGTTAAACAAAAAGATTGCCAAAATTCATCTCTCAAATAGACCTTTTGGTTGGAGGAGTCTATGATAATGACAACCAGATGAAGGCTTGGCAGCCTCTCTGTTGTTGAGTTGTATGGGTTTTCCTTTTCTTTCCTTTATCAGTTTTTGGGTGATGATGAGCAGAAAAGTCTTGTATTTCATTTCAGAAATAATGTACATGACTATTAGTTTGAATTAGACGTCTTATCCTGGATGAGTGCTATATATAATTGCAGTATGATTTAAGTATATTAAGACTTTTGCATTTCTGTGACAAAGCTCAGTTCATTTTCTAGGTTCCAGACACAAGTGAAGAAAGCCTTGCAGCCGTTGCAGGAATGTTTAGCAGTAAAGCTAAAGGTATTCAATTTCTTAACTAACAGTTCAAGATTTTATATTGAGATTGCAATGTTCACTTAATTTTTTTTTTTTAGGTTGCAGTAAGATACAATATTGGTAGGGAACGTCTCACCATTACTTCTAAAACGTTGAAATAAAGAAATTAAGGAGTTTTAAATTTTAATATTTATATTTTTACTTTTCCTTAAGAAGTGTCTGTTCTAGTCAGTGGTGTGGTATTGGTGCATGGCACATGTCTTTTTGAAGATGATGGAGACAAATAAAGCATTCATCCTTTGAAGAGAAGAGGGTTTTTTTTTATAGGTAGCAGTAAAAGCATTAATTCATTAAGGATTAAAATGTGCAAAGTAACTACAAGATTTAGGCTAGCCACAACTACCTTACACAAAATATACACAAAAAAAATTGTTATGAAATTACTCACCAATACAAATCATCCCTATTGACTCCTTTCTTTGCAAGTTAGTCAGCTACAATTTTTGTTGATCTATAATCAGCTGCCCAGAACACCTCTAAAAAGCTCATCACCCTACTCAAAACTCTTTGGAGCCCCTTGTGAAAATTATGGTATCATCTGCATATAAGCAATGTGTAATCAAGGGGCACCCTCTGTGAGTGATATAGTTACCTTCACGAAAGTCCATCCCCAGCCGTTTCCGACCTCTAGTAGACTTTAATTAACCTCTAGTAAACTGTGAGTGATATAGTTGCCTTCAGGTATGGTGATAAGGGGTCTCCTTGCCTGAGACCCCTAGTAGACTTGAAATAACCTGTTACTACTCCATTCTAGAGTAATGAAAACCAGCAATTGTTTAGAGTTTTGTTCCCCAAACTAACCAAAGTATTACTGAAACCAAATTTAAGCAGGACCTTTTCCAAAAAAATTCCAGCTAAGCCTATCATAGACTTTAGCCATGTCCAATTTCCGAATTACGTTCCAACCATTTACCCATTTATCTATATCTTGCGCTAGCTCTTGAACCAAAGCTACATGGTTTTACTATATTCCTTCCTTTAACAAAATCCCCTTGCTCCTCCAAGATCAACTTTGGAAGGATAATACTAAACCTATTAGTGATAACTTTTGCAATTACTCATAGCAAAATTTAGTTTTTTGGGAGTTAAAAACATGTTTTTTTTTATTGAAAAAGAATGGGGTCCTAAAACACCTGGAAACAGGCGTATTGGTTGAAGAAGAACAGAAAGAGGAGAAGGGTTCGGCCAGAAGAGAAAAAGTCACTCTACCCAGCTGACCCACTTGGTATTTATAATGAATAAGTTGAATTACAAAAGACAGTATTGTCCCTTACAAGAGATAGGACACATAACTTAAACTTGAATAAAACAGACCATTCACTTCTAATTAGATAGACAAAAGACCAAAATACCCCTGTATTTGTCGACTCTAACACTCCCCCTTAAGTTGGAGAGTATATGTCATATAGTCCTAGCTTGTCACATATGTAATCTACTCTGCCCCGAGACAACCCCTTTGTAAAAAGATTTGTCCACTGGTTTCCTAAGCTCACATGAGATGTAGTTATCACTCCACTAATCACTTTTTCTCTTACAAAGTGGCAATCGACTTCAATATGCTTTGTTCTTTCATGGAAGACTGGATTAGAAGAGATGTGTACAACAACTTGATTATCATAGTATAACCTCATGGGTCTATCAATTGAGAACCCCATCTCTTATAATAAATTCTTCAACCAAACTAGTTCACATGTAGTATGAGCCATAGCCCTGTACTCAACTTCTGCACTGCTCCTTGCCACCACTGTTTGTTTCTTTCTCTTCCTAGTTACTAGAGCCAGCCCAATCAGCATTTGTATACCCTTCTATCTCAAGAGTCGTCCACTTTTGTATAGCAGACCATGACCTAGAGCACCATTCAAATACCTAACTATTCTTAGAACTGCTTCCCAATGAGGAATCCGAGGATGTTGCATAAACTGACTTACCATACTTACAACAAATGATATATCTGGCGGTGTGATAGTCAGATAGTTCAATTTTACCACCAACCTCTTGTACCTTCCAGGATCATCAAACTCTTCACCTGCATCAATACTCAACTTAGCATTTGGTTCCATTAGGTGTCTCGGTTGGTTCATGGTTTCAAATGTCGCGACATTTCGCTAATGTTGCCTGGCATATGTTGATGTCGAGGCTCACCGACATGAAAATGGATGGTAATATAAAAATTACATTATTTCGGTTGACATTTCCTATATTTCGGAAATGTCGACCAAATC